AAGACAATGTGATTTAATTGTAATTTTAACAGCATGCTGATATAAACGATCCCAGTAAATCGTAATCTCGTCCTGCAAAAAGAGGCGTCCTTACTCATACTAATGGGAAAGCATGTTCTCGTAACCCTCATTAGTTAACTATCAATTAATTGATTGATAACCCTCTACCGCAATCAACTTGAAAGGGCTGTCTACACTAGAGAAAGCGATGTAGCCTGGGTGGTACTTCCGTAACACAACACTGCCATGCCGTGATGACGCATTCATATTTAATGCGATAACACCATTTCAAGATACATGCTCATCTGGCTACCTACGTTGATATTTATATTAGATTTAAAATCCTTTCTCATAGACAGTCACCTGGATACTATATATGCATGTGTTGTATGTCTACTGTACAATAAAACGCACTCGTAGCGAAGCATATTTCCGTTTTATGACCCTAGTTCAAAACAATTACAAATGGCATAATTTGAAGATTTTTAGACGATGTGTGTTGCATGAGAAGAGACAAGTCACATGGCATAGGTAAGAAACTCACACTTCAGTGTCACAGTCAATAGTTTGACAAAGGTGTCACTTTTTGCATCTTACATAGGGGTTAAAATTTAAGCAATATGTTCTTGTGTTTAATTAAATACATTACCATAATAGCCCTCCCTGTACAAAGGACTCATCAATAGTTGCATTCCTTATTTAAGCGGGAGTAAAATACATGTTCGTGCTTCACCCTTACCAGGGCGTTTCAAATAAGATGATATCTAAGTGGAAGAAAACACATTTTAAAAAAAAATCAGCATTTTAACCATGAACGAAGTTGTATCCTGCAAGGGAAATGCGATCACGCATGAGAGAAATGTATAATGGTACAATATAACTTCATGTGATTTTCCCACCAATTTAAGTATGACATGAATGACATAACATGAAATAGAAAATGCATCCATACAGAAGAAATATATTTCAGGTTGAAAGAGCTGTGTCATTAAGTATGTGAAATATTGACATGCAGTATCATATTTCACGCATCACTGGTTTTTAACATTGCAATTTCATAGATATCTCGTGAATTGAAATCAATAAAATGCAAACATATACGCCAAACAACCGGAAGTTGTTTTTTTGTCCCTAAAATCTCGAGTATTGTTATTTGGTTGCAAGCTGTTCTATGACACGACACACTATTGATGGATGGTGCGCTGATGGATGTCTGAACGAGTTACCATACGATCGATGTGCTAGCTAAGTGAGCCAGGTATTGCTGCTGCACCTCCGCGTTATGTTGCCGTACTGGCCTTTCTGGTACTGCCAACCGTAACACGGGGGATGTACCACCAAGTGATGCCAAAGATACAGGCGCCGATCCGGTATTGTCACAAACTATTATAGCAATTAGCGTTGTAACGCATGATAAAGTCACATTAGGTAAAATAATCTTCGTGACAGTCGTCGGTCATATCAGGTTCATATGAAATATTATCGCTTCAGAGAGTGCGGGCCTTCAGCCTACAGAGGCGTCCCTCTTTGTATACGAACGTACCCGTTGATTACTCAATAGATCAGAGGAGTGTCACAGCACCAGGCAGTAGAAGTTATGTTAACGGTTATTATATATCAGCGTCGGAAGTAAAATTATATAAGTTTTCTTAATAGGTGTAACATAGAGGATAGTAAATATACCAATACCTTGTCACAGGCTCACTGAAACCATACCTGGAAAGCAGCTGATACTTATTTATTTATTTACTAAGTATTGCCAAGTTTCACTTTAATATCTTCGTGTCAACACCAATATACCACATTAACTTTTGTTAAAAAATATATTTGCCGTAAGGAACCTAAAAAATGCACTGGCGCCGATGTCATGATTGGTAAAAGAAAAATGAGGAACGGCAAAGAAGGAGATTTTCACAGCAGATTTTAATTCCAATAATTGATTATATTTACTTTGTATATAAATGTGGAAACCCGTAATTCAAACAAGAATTTATCATTCTACAGGTTGGTAGTATAAGGTAGTGTGCAGAGAATTCTGTTATATATTCATAATACTATCGCTGATACAATCGTTAAAATATTGTGGTCAGTAAAATTCGATAACCCCGTCCAATATACATGTAGTTTCCCACAGAGCTTATGGACATCCTTTGTCAAGACTCGTTTAGATTCAGCGATGACTTCATCATTTATTTGACAGCGTGTGGTGTTTTTGGCTTCACGAACTGGAAGTAGGAAATCATACAATTGATATGAAATATATTTCCTGTGACGATGTCTAGTTAAAATGCCTTACGATAATTAAAATATTAAACTTGCGTTATCAATCAAAATGATCCGGTAGAGCAGTCAAGTTTCCAGATTTTCTTCTAAACATCAAAATATCCATATAACTCGAAATGTGTCTCTATTTACTGACAAATTCGAGATAAGCGCTTTTTACCGGAATCGAGGTTGATATCGTTTGATAATGCTCTGTTAAGACAAGCACACCTGCTATATATAGTAACACCTGTTCAAGGTGCATGTCCATCATCTCTTAAGTATAACTTCATATAACACCGGATTCTTTTCGTCAAACTGAGCGTGACAAAGTTTTGTAACGGTGATAGATCAGAGGCGTTGATGTGTGGAATGATCCGTCATGCTTCTGTAGCCTAATGTAACAATACGATAAGGAAAAGCTCATCACAAGCATTGATGTTTTACGAGCGGAGGAGTGAGGGTGATAGCGCGAGACGTAATTCACAACTTGCGGGATACTGTTCATCAACGGCTCCACACAAACGCTGCCAGCTCGTGCAATGACCTTATTGCGGCTGTAATAAGGTCATGCTTTATAACACTTAAAAAAACGCCCATCTGTTAACATGACAACATAATTTTGACAGTTGCTTTAAGTACATTTAGGTGAAAGGTCATGACAGATAACCAATTGACATATTTAGAAAATGGTCCTTACATTTTGTTTCATGACTGAGCTAAAATGTTCAAAATAATTCACACGATTCATAAAGCGGCGTTGTTTTTCTGTCAAAATGTAAGACTGAATATTGGCGTTAGAACAGAAAAAAATGAACTCCCTGATGCCTTACTTCCGGTTATGTTCAATTTCGACAAATGTTTCTGGTGTCCTATAAATAGAATCATTGGCGCACATATATATATACAATATATGCCTTATGAAGCGTTCCGATTTGGATATTATAAAATCGGACTTATTTTAAAATTCATCCTGGTTGTTTATAGATTATCTATTTTTTAGAGTAGTTCTTTACAACTTAATACAACGTGTTGCATAGCTTGAAGTTGCTGTATTGAGTGATTATATATTCGGTAATGCTAATTAAAGTAACACACGTGAATAATTTATCTCAGAAATATATGGAGAGAGAAGGAAAGGAATGCATCTAGTCAATATGAATATATATACTAGATATCAAATATCAGATGTTATTGAATAATAAAATTGTATGTTATCTATTTAATCAGCCTCAAGCTATAAAAAACAATAGTGTAACGTGTACCTATACAGCTACCTAAAGATTTGTCAGGCTAACAGGTGATTCACGGTTTAGCAAACGGTTATTACTGAACGTCCTTAAATGATCTTAAATGTGAATAGGAAGTTAAACAAGATAAAACCAAACCAAACTGTTTACATGCTTCTTATTTTTTTTAAATGCATGTTGTATTTTGTTTCATAAAAAAACACATGTACAGATAAATACTTGCAATTAACATTCTAAACTTACACGAGTACGTGTATACTATACACAGTTAATCATATTGTGACTGTGTCACTACGTTGAGTACGTTTTGAATAACCGTATGCACGATTTTTATACATGTACTTGTTCTCAATGACCACACCCTCTTAACAAATACTAAACTGAAGTGTCTACCTAGAACGCTTGAAAGAAACGTGCACTCTTCACTTGTTTCTAACAATTAAGTACAAAAATAATGGCTATATGTAATTAAATATATAATGTTTTATGATAACTCTGTATGGTTAGTACTTGTACTAAGATTGTGTATTATTGAATTACGTCTAAGAGCAGTGAAAAATAATCATCCCGCGTTTTATAATGAACATTTTCCACTTAATACAAATACTCACTTAGTGTGATTTAAATGAAGTTACCCTTTAGGCATTGAGCGATTACACAAGCAATTTTCTGTTAATATTTAAATAGAAGTATCTTAAATTTACATTTAACAAGTCGTCAAAACATATATTAAAAAACCCGATTTCTATCAATTTGATTAACTCCTTAACTATTGTGAATTACAACAGGTAAATGTTTAAATTTGTCGTTATACAGAGCTTAAGCTATGGCGATGTTAACCCTTTTACCACTGTAGACCATAATGGACTTGTCCAGATCAATGCATGGTAGAGTCAACTAAAGTTACATAGGGGTGAAAGGGTTAAGGTACATGTAACACTGTTAAAGTGTATTAAGGCATGACTCTTTATAGGTTTTACCAGGCTGCTTTCCATATAAATTATTTTTTTAATGTTAAAAATGTACATATTTTGACTCAAAATGATAAACAATGTATTTTTGTATGTTTACAATTTCCGTTTTACAAAGCAACACGCTCTACTCGTGAGAACTGTGTATAGTCAAAACAAGGAAGTTACACGTAACACTGATAACAACCAAGGAGGACGTCGGCGACATCGGAATCCGCCCTAATACGACCTCTTGGCAATCCAGACGCTTTTGAGACGATAGGACAACAAGTAAAATGGATTATATGACAATGATGATAGACTTACGTGTACATACCAAACTTCAGAACATCTGCAGTTGTTTGATTTGTTTAAACAGATGTCTGAGTAACGAGGAGTTGATAAGAGAAAACACGTAAGATATTGCTTATCGCTGATAAACCCCTAGTATAACCAGGGTCTAGGTTTCGTAATTCAAGAATTCGGGATTTGTTTAAAGCAATTAATAGACCTACCCTTTGATATGTAAATAACTTACCGTCATTAGGATAAGGCTGAGAGAGGACATCTCGCATACATTTGCGGAACGCTGTATACATCAGTTCCTGTAAGTGGCTGGACTTGCTCAAAGTGTCATTCCCAGGCATGTTGAAAAAATATCCAGAATAACTCCAATTAGATCACTGCACACACCTTTTCATGTGTTAAATGATGGTTTATCTAACAAAACCACAACTAGTTTTCATTATTTAGATATGCGTTAATTCCTATGCAGATCCCCAAGATTTAAACCATTGATGTCGTTGACACGGTTCAGCGAATCATGTTGCGGATCCCACACTCTTCTGGAATGTAAACAAGTAATATTCAGATAAATATAGTTATCATCAGCATTATGAGGGAGACAACAAGTAAAGAAAACACTTATACTAGAAAATATAAACTAACACAGGAAATCACAAGTGTTGAATCGCTCGACTTATCTCCAGCAACGTTCGTTTACCCTATACACTGTTCAGTACTGTGGGACAGCGGGTCACACGTGTAGACTCGCTCCCCGATTTACACTTATATCAACCGTACATGTCTGATAATCTACCGGGTAATTATATAGAGGTATGCTTCTATCTTGTCAAAACACATCCTTCCACGTTCTATATTATTTTATAAACTATTTATTCGATACATACATTTATATTTAGACATAGCCCCGGGTTAACAGGGATAAGACTTAAGATTCTACGGAAGAAACTCAGAATCTCAGTCGGGCGTGCCAGTAGTTCCAGCAGATTAAAGACGTGTCACATCCCATGCGTGTTTTCTTTTATAGAAAACAATATACCACACTGTTTCAAGTCGTCCTGTTTTGTCGACAGTCTTAACCCTCTCATTCACAACAAAATCCATTATTCTCAATCAATTGGCGATTTCAGCGTCCTCTTTATTCTTTCAGCTAAATCCCTTAAATATCTCAAGTGTTTATTTTGTTACCTTGGGCATTCCATTAAACTGAAATTACAAACACGGACCACCTTTCAAAACACGCTCCATTGTATATCAAATGTCAAAGTATATATTCACTGTTTTCTGTCTATTAGGGATGTAATGAACGGTGTCCAGCAAATACATTATGTCCACGTTAGTGATCAAGAGTAATATCCAGGTATAAACTTAACACGAACAAAATTTAACTACCTGCTGGTTGACTATTGTAACAAACAGGACTGGTCAGGTGATATTATGATTTCACTGCAAGCTGATTAACGTTAACGCATGTCTAGCAGTTTTGTTGTACTATTTCCGATTACTATTATATTTTTCACGGTTACCCCAAATCTATAATTATTATAGCGTGCTAAACGTTATGCGATAGAGATTTTGCACGCGCGACAGACGTAGGTCAATGATAAACGCAGCGTTATAGCTATTCACTTAGGTATACATCTTAAGTATAGAACAGAAAAACTCAAATATTTATCAGCATGAGTGGTATTCCGTCTTTGGGTATTGTAGAGTTATCATCTGTGAGCAGGTATTGGTTGTTACGTCATTGGTTGTTGTGAGAAAATTACGTCGTTTTCTCAATAAATGATGACGTTACTCTCACAAACAAATGACGTAACAATCAATACCTGCTCACAAGAGCAGATAACTCTGCAATACGCAAAGACGGAATAGTATGGCTGGTTATAGCATCAATATATTGTCACAGTTTAAGCTTTAAGCTTTCAACAGCAGATTCAAGTTTCTCCCACAGCCACTATATGTTTCCTCACTCCCGAGTCATTGAACAAATCTATTAGCCGTTGGTCAACATTTTTGGTTACCCTTTAGTGGGTAACACCTTGAATGTGAATTCATTGGTATTTTTTTTTACTTATGACGTCACATAACAATGCTTTGCGACGTCATCTTCCATTGTGACGTCATGGTTCACGGCAATTGTTTCCCCCCATCGGAAGCCGACATAGTGAAATATTTTCAAGTGAAACATATGGCTTTCCAGATATTAACTATTGATATTAAATATTAACAGTATGGGAGAAAAAGGTCCCAAAACTCGTGATGGTAGGTTATCATGTTTATCGAACTTTCGTTAGTTAATTTTAAAATCGTAAAAGACACTCGGTAAACCTCGTGTCTTTATACAATTTGAAAATTAACTAACTCGAGTTAGATAAACATGATAACCAACCATCAGTTGTTTGGGAACCTCTATTTATTCCGCAGAACAATTAGAAGATTATCAATTTGTCTTGTTAGAAAATATAAACCAGATCATCATCTGAACAAGTACAAAGTTTTAAAATGTAAATTGTAAACATAAATTTGATTCGCGTTTGCAACTTCTATTGCAGACATGAATCCGCTCTTAATGAAATCTACAGTCCTTCGTCTTAAAATGTATCCGGACAGCGGAACGGTTGTCGTATACTGTATCGTTTATCCCTTAAAGGATCAATGATACACGCCATAAGGTTATTAACCAGATGCGCCTGTCAAACTCTAGAAACAAATACTAACAACCGCAAATACACACAAAATAGTTGGAACAATTCCATCCAATAAAATGGTAAGACGGTCTTACCGAGGATTTCAGGGTGTATCACATGCCGGATTCCAACTAGAAGTGAAATAGATGATACATCCGCACGTGCATTAGTTGCTGCAGTAGGTCTTCTCTGTGTCGGTATATTTTCCACTGCTACCACAAGTGTTGGCGTACTCAACCTTCCTATTATCGATAGCATCGAATGCGCCCTAGCCCTGCGTCTTCCCGAACGGCCGATTCAGTAATGCAGGTACGATCGTTGTTCGGGTGTCTTTTATAGATAAATCGCGGGCTATATGTCCGTCACAACGAAAGGGGTTTCCCGATCTATATACACATCCATAACCTGAGTACACAATACGGTATGTGTAACACCTCCTTGGTATGTTGACAAGTAGGGGAGAGCTGATAGGTTTTACAAATTGAAATAAATATTTTAAGTGGGATTAGTGCCACTTTGACACCATTTCAAAAACATTTGGAAAAACGTCACGTACATGTACATGTACCTAAAACCATATATACGAATACTCCAGTCTCGAGATATCTGATCCTCGCCAGCATTTGTGTTCATTTAACTAAGCTACTATCATTCATCACTGAACTATTCCTTGGGGTTTACCAAAAACAGGCAATCGTTTTGATATCATATATGTATCTTTTCACGTTGGTCTTTGTTTATCTTGACATTGTGCTTCAACAGTATTATTTTTCCAGGTAATTAACCACCCATATTTACTTATTTTTCCGAAACTCTTTAGTTCACATGTCGAAATGCACGGCGTAAATTGATCAGGAAATCACCCTGATATACAGATAGCACGTACACACAACTCCAGTACGCATCGATTCGTTTTATTTATTTTATGGTTTTAACTCTTTTCTGAGAAGTTGTTTTAAGAATCAAAATTGTAAAAGGGTTTAAGTGTTTCTTTGTATTTCCATCTTGTAATAGAATTACAGGATTTCTTTTTATATCAGTCGATCCGCAGTATTTTACCATATTACCAAAACTTCCATGGCGTTATTGACACGGAGTGAACATTATTTTAGCGGAAACAATATGTATAATAACGTTATCTCTCACACATATTACACTGAGGGACAAAACAGGAATGATTCTTATAAAGGAGATGCAGCTATCAAACACTAAATGATATGAATTACCTTATTTTACCGCTTAATAAGCTACATGCTATGCGAGTTCTCCTTTTATATTTCACTCATAAATTAACATTTCACAACCTCTATTCCTCTTTCCAGCAGAAATTCGATGGGCCATCCTTTGCCTCATTTAGATTCTTTCAAAACCCTCCAACGTCCTTAACTGAATTTATCTGTTAATAGGACGTTAAACAAAATCAAACCATTAAATCACTTTCAAAACCCTCTTAAGGTCGAATTGAAATAATCTATTTTATACTTACTACAGTTTTGTCGGAGAGGGCCAGTCTGCTGTTGCGTGAACAAAACTGATTCTCCTAAATATAACGCGTATGTATAGTCCAGACTGTACCGTTAACAAAATGCCTTTTACTTTTTCATGAAATATCAAAACTTTTGACACCTGCATCATCAAACATCCCAATATGTTTGCTTCAATATCAACGGTATTCGGTACTGTGCCAGTTAATACTATCATCATGCATGGAATATCATGTATAAACAGGGGTGTCAGCGTTTCAGTTGACAAACGGAATGGAATAAAAACGCAATTAAAACGGAACGAAAACGGAATGAAACAAGGCCTAAACGGAACGGAACGAAAATAATTTTACTGTTTGGAACGAAACGCGAATAGAACGGAACTAAACATGGCGTCAGAGTGCGTGGTTGTTAATTACTGTAACTTGTACCGAGTACCTGTTACGTTGCTTGTTCTTTAAATATTTTATTTTTCAAACGAATTTAATCACCACAGCATTTTGAACAGCCGTATCGGATGTTGTTTCCTATATGATCAAACTTGTTGATTCTGTAAATCCCAAGTACACTGAAACTAGCTTCACCTCTGGTTCTTTGTTAGGTTATACTTTTAATTATTATTCCTTTCGTGTTTTTGTAAACAAGATAAGGGAAAATAGTGTACACTACTTTATATATGAAGCGCATTAAATCCTCCACTCACTAATGATCCTGATCTTATCTTAATAATTATTCTCTTATCGTTAACTACGTTCTGAATCCATTACTGTCCCTTTCTCATTGTAAACAATGTTCTTTTATCAATACAATGTATGTCGAATAATATTTTTTTGTTAGTTATGTATGGGCACATGGGCACTTTTAAGAAGTACAGATAATGAGCTCCATGAAGTTTTGGTATCGCAGTGCATTTGGTATACAGAATACATTGCTACAATGTGCAAATCAAACACTTGAGTGTTAGGGTTATAGAGACTAAGATGGTATATACCACAACGTCATTGTGTTTATTCCCTATTGTTACAGGATTTATCCACATTTATGTAAGGAAATAAAACACTTTTGGAATGTTTATGGTAAAAGCATTCAGTAGTAGCCTCAGCTTACTTTGTACATCATCTCATGTGCTATGTTATCAATATCAATACTTTGTTTTGATAAATTTATGGCATACTGAAGTGTCAATGAAACAATAAATCGAGTTCAAAATCGATAAAAAATGGGCGAAATGTGAAAAAGGAAGGGTTTATACGAATTCCCTTAATTAAGTTCAAGAAGGAGAAGACCAGGTGTTCAGGAAGGGTAAGCGTCTTTTGCTAGGATGTTAGACAACTTGTTTATGATTATATATGATCTTAAAAACATCTAATGTTATTTTATGTGATACTATACAAACTGTACTTTGTTTATGATATTAAACGTTATTTCTAGTAATAATTTAAATTAACACAATGAAGACTTAATTAATACCTGCGTTACTGATAAATTACATGATTTTAGCATTTGAGTGATTTCCCTTAGTCTGGTAGACTTTCGACTATAGAGTTATCTCCCCTTATTGGTGCCATCTTACATCCTTTGTAAACCACTGAAGCGGAAATTTGCAGGAATTGTAAAGGAATCTGGCGAAATCAGCAAGAATTGTCAAGGAAATTTGCCGTTGTATCAACTAATTAGTTTGTTGTAAAATTGTTTAGGTCATATTTGGCCGTTTGAGTTTGTAGGCATGTCGATGGTGATCATTGATTGGCCTAGATAATACTTTTTTGGCCATGCTGTCTAAATCGGGAATATGGCGCTAGGTGGTATCATGTGTCAGTATTGCCTTCCCGTAGGGTATATCGTTTCACCCCGGTTTTCAAACGCACCGGGTTGTTAAGTTCTGTAAACCTCGCCCCTTTTGATGTTCTATGCTTTGTATGATACCGTATACAATTACTTTGTTTATGTTACATTATTCACGTCACGCTACCACTATTGTTACGCTACCCTAATTGGTACACAGCCAGCAAATATTTCTAATAATACTTAAAATAATCGTGTATCTTTTGCCCTGATGGTATAACAACAGTTATTTATTAGTAGTTCAACCAAATAATGTTATTTTCAGCGACATTTTAAGATGACTTCAAAGACAACATGCCAGAAACAAACACAATATTTTGGTGGGTCTTGAAAAGAGTAATGAAAAGCAGTTTAAATGGTATTGTTACCATTTTGTGTAAATGTATTAGCTTGGTTTGAAAACGCCTATAAGCTGATTTCGAATTTTAAGTTGTATATTCAATTACAAATTACTTAAAATCGAAACGTTTCCTGAAAATGAACAACCAACGGCAGTCTTTGTAAGCTACCAAAAAACGTTCTCGATACGTATTTTGGAATTTGAAATATCATTTTAAAACTTTCGAAATTGTTCCAATTGCTATAGATTGGCGTAATTTATTTTGCATACAATTCTATACTTTGTATATTTTACCTATGCTATGTATATGATTTATGGTAAGACTAATGCTTTTGTATTAGTTTTATAAGACACATGTGATGATTGTCAAGTCGCTTACGTTCCAAACAGAGTGCAGGGCTAGTGAGCATATTCGTAGAATCTAACCATTATCTTGGAAAGACTTCTTCAATGAAACGAGTTATGAACGGCCAGCGATGTACTTACTAGTGCGTATGTATAATGCATAAGCCAAACTCAACCACGTGATACCGATTAGGTAAATTTGACACGGTACTGATATAAAGTCTAAGAATGCGTGAAGTATATGGCAGAAAATCTGTGCATTTAAAATATATTGGAAAAAGAAAACTCACAGTAGAATTGACGATAGTTATATAAATATGTGTTATAATATTAATGAAATATTTGGATGCATTTTCCGCTTGTTAGAACAAATCACATCCATTCCCTCACCAAACCCACACTAATCTTATGAGAGCACATTGTCACTCACCCCTTGACCACCTTTCTTAACATCAGTTGGCCACGTAATGATACAGTTGATAGGGTGACGTATTATTGAATATTTCTTAGAAATGCAAACATACCCTTCAAGATTGCGTTCTTTTTGGAATGCCGGTTAAGCCACTACAGTGTGCTTTATGTTGCTTCCTCTCATAGCAAATTGATAAAATGCCATTTACGCCGATCATTGAGTGTATTATCTTGTGTGTATAACGTAAACACTAACAGCGTAACTCATAATCCCGTAACATTGTGTATTACTGAATATACACAGCAACCAATGATCCCGCATCGTTGGATGTTACCTTAGATAGACATCAACCCATGATCCCGCATCCTTGTGTGCTACCTTAGGTAGACATCAACCCATGATCCCGCATCCTTGGATGTTACCTTATATAGACATCAGTTGGATGTTACCTTAGATAGACATCAACCAATGATCCCGCATCCTTGGATGTTACATTATGTAGACATCAACCAATGATCCAGCATCCTTGGATGTTACCTTATATAGACATCAGTTGGATGTTACCTTAGATAGACATCAACCAATGATCCCGCATCCTTGGATGTTACATTATGTAGACATCAACCAATGATCCAGCATCCTTGGATGTTACCTTATATAGACATCAACCAATGATACCGCACCGTTGGGTGTTACCTTATGTAGACATCAACTAATGATCCCGCATCCTTGGATGTTACCTTATATAGACATCAACCAATGATTCCGCATCCTTGGATGTTACGTAGACATCAACCCATGATCCCGCATCCTTGGATTTTCCCTTAGGTAAACATCAACCCATGATCCCGCATCCTTGGATTTTCCCTTAGGTAAACATCAACCCATG